TGCTGGATAAGTTGGCGGTTCATTCCGCTGTGGTGACCCCTGATGAATAATGGGACTGAGCCAAAGGAAATTAAAAGAATGAATCCCCATTTTGTGACTTTTAAAGACATGCTACTGACATTTCTTTCTTTTACTAAAAGATCAGAGTCATAAATGATTCCAATAACATAAAAACAAAATCCTCAGAGTAGAATTAATTTTAAAGATGATTACAAAACAGTATTATTAAGACTATAGGCTAAACTTTCTACAATAACAAACATCCCTCATAAACAATGAATTTTCCAAGCATCTCTGAGATGTGAGAGAACTAACTAAACAAACAGCAGCTGTCAGACAAAACACTGAGCTTATTGTGTCTCGATGGCTTCATTGCGTCACGTTATTTTAGAGTCCACCAAGTCTTCGACACAGGCACAAACACCACACACACCTTGACCATGCACAAAGGAGATTCCCTGCAGGCTAAACAGAGACACACCTCAAAACCTTTGGCCTAGAAAGCAAAGAACATGCTGTTATATTTTTGCTGGCTCATATACAACTGAAATATAGCAACCAAATCAACAGGAGGTCACCGAGTTTACACTATGAGCCGGTACTCGGCCTACAAGATGCTGGTATCTCAAAACGCGCTTTACGCAACACTGCCTGGCTGGAAGATTTTCCTCCATATCTGCAACAAGACAGCTGTTTGAGGCTGAGACGGATCATAACAGATCTGTGCAGTTGTTATAAAGCCGCTGAATGACCCTTGAGGACTTACGGATCAAATGTCAGTCAGATCACGGGAGTCTTTCAGGAAAAGCCGGAGCGTAACAGGTAACAGAAGCCACGTTCAAAGCCTTGGCTTCAACTCAGCGGGGAACGAATAGTTTGAGCACAATTACGCAAACCTTTTAGAGTGGAGCAACAATGCAAACCGCAGGAGATGAGCTCTCCTTTTGGGATTCAACTCAATATTTGATGCTCCAAGAACTAGGGATGTGCAATATGACTATATAGAGCAGTAGTTTGATACCTGACTGTTATCGAAGTCCTATTGAACTCACCAAACATTTTTGATCCACTTCAAATATTAAGTACTGTATATCATTTGCATGAAATTAAAAGCAGTTTGTTATGTTTTATCATTTATTTGGTAACACTTTACAATAAGGTTCATTAGTTAATGCATTTACTAACATGAACTAATCATGAACAACACATGTACAGCATTTATTAATCATAATTGAACATTTACTAATGCATTATTAACATCCAAGTCCATGCTTGTTAACAATAGTTAATGCACCATGAGTATGAATATAACATGAACAAATACAGTAGTAAATGCATTGTTCATTGTTTGTTTATGTTAGTAATGCATTAATTAACATTAACTAATAAACCTTATTGTAAAGTGTGACCATTTATTTCATGTGATTGTAAAAATACATCGTTTACAGTAATAATATTCATCATTTTAATGAGCTCAACGTTTTACTCCAGATAGAAACGTGTCTAACAGCATGGGGAGAAAGTGGCATGCGTGAAAGTACACTGTTTACCCTGTTTTAAGACTTCATTAACATGTACTTTTCATCTCAACATTCTAAATCAAACATATCATGAAATTATATTTTTTTAAAAAGTGAGAAAAATCACATTAATGACAAAATTTTTGAAGATGCACTTTCAAATAACAACACAAACAGCCCTTTCCATGTGATTAATATACAGTTGAAACCAGAAGTTTGCATACACTCTAAGAAAAGGAACATAACTATTTAAAAAAAAATAATGTCTGATGGTAAATCATATTAAAAGTTTACTATTTTAGGTCCGTTAGGATCACCTAAATTATTTACATTTGCTAAATTTTGTTTTAGAGAATTGTTTATTAATTTCTAGACAGTCAATAGTTTACACACATTTCCGTGGCATTTTTTAGCTTTGCTTTTAAACTGTATAACTTTGGTCAAATGTTTTGAGTCTCCTTCCACAAGCTTCTCACAATAGTTTGAAAGAATTTTGGCCCATTCCTCCTGACAGAATTGCTGTAACTGAGTCAGATTTGTTAGCTGCCTTGCCCGCACAAGCTTTTTCAACTCCGCCCACACATTTTCTATAGGATTGATATCAGGGCTTTGTGATGGCCACTCCATAACATTCACTCTGTTGTCAGTAAAGCACATTTTAACAAATTTGGCAGTATGCTTAGGGTCATGGTCTGTATGGAAGAGCCGTTTGTGGCCAAGTTCTAATGTCCTGGCTGATGTCTTGAGATGTTGCTTCAGTATTTCTCCATAATGTTCTTTCTTCATGATGCCATCTATGCTGTGAAGTGGACCAGTCCCTCCTGCAGCAAAACAGCCCCACAACATGATGCTGCCGCCCCCATACTTCACAGTTGAGATGGTGTTGCTAGGCTTGTGTGCTTTCCCCTTTGTCCTCTAAATGTAACACTGCTCATTATGGCCAAACAGTTCAATCTTAGCTCCATCAGAGCACAGGACATGTCTCCAAACATGAGTCTTTTTCCCAGTGTCATTCAGCTAATGGTAATCTGGCTTTGTTGTTGATTCTGGCTTGTTGATTTTCCCATGTTGTCACACAAGGAAGCAGTGTGTTTGAGCTTTTCCTTAAATACTAGTCTACAGTTGTGCCTCCAATTAAATTAACATGTTGTCAATTAGCCAATCAGAAACTTCCAAAACCTCGACACCATCACCTGAGCTTATTCAGAGGCAGAATAATCTTACTGTGTGTAAACTTGACTTTCAAGAAGAGTTATAACGATTTCTCAACACATATCTCTCTCATTGTTCTGCTATTAAGCAGAACAGAAACACATGTGATGATCCTAACTCACCTAAAGGTGAAAAGTTTTTAAACATTTATATGTTAATATTGATTTTATTTGATATGCATTTTTTCTCTCTTCTTTGTTATATGTATATTTTGATATCTGCAGTATTTAATTTATGTTTCGGAAGTGTTTTGTTTAAAAAGGAAGTGTGTTATTTTAAATTGATTACTATAATGGATGTAAACGGAAGGAGATCACACATGGTCACAGCGTCTCAGCAATACGGTCTGCAACGGTCTAAAGCAGGGGTCACCAACCTTGGTCCAAGAGGGCCGGTGTCCCTGCAGGGTTTAGCTCCAACTTGCTTCAAGTATACCTAGTAACACCTTGATTAGCTTGTTCAGGTGTGTTTGATTAGGGTTGGAGCTAAAATCTGCAGGACACCAGACCTTCAGGAATAAGTTTGGTGACCACCGCTCTAAAGGTTTTAGCTCAGGGTTTAATGTTGGTTTGAACGTTGCACTTAAACAAATCGTGGGAAAATGCCAGTGAAAGAGTCAATTCTTTATTGAGCCAGTCAGATACACAAACTATTAATCAATAAGCTATATGCACACAGACTTTTAATTCTCAGCCAGGCAGCACGAGGGCTTCCGGTGAACTGTATTTCCATTACAAAATTGTCATGTTTAAGATCTGTTTTCTTTACAAATCAGCGATCCTCACTGCCTGTTAGATATCTGATATGAACTGGGTCTCAGATCGCACTAGAACCACTGCATTAAATTCCAGTTTCCCTTGCCATGTCTTTAAAATATGACAGTTTATTTTACCCCAGTATTTTCAATGGAATTTCGGGAGGGGTCTGGATGCAGACCTGGTGCAGTGCAATCTGAGCTGCATCCAATGCTTTTTAATGCACTCGCCTAACCCCAGCCCTAACCCTACGCATCACAGTGACATCACTCACTCCATTGAGTGCATTGTGTCTGAGACTGCATCGCTGAGTGATGCAATCTCAGCTTGCATCATAAAGGCTGCATCCAGACACTATTGGGAATTTCCGCACTAGCCTGTTGGTACTGACGGCACTAGTGGTTACAATGGTTTGAACAAACTAAATAAATGCTACTTAGTCTATTTAACTAAATGCATTGTAATTACATTACAACATCGATGCTGTAAAAAAACAACCTTGTAAACTGAAATAGTCACATTAAGCTTTAACCAGAAGTTTTATCGTTCGCCCTAAAACTCTAGCTGTGCATAGAGCCCGTTAAATTAACAGAAAAAGGCACTATATCGTGATATGCATCATTATCAGAAATGTAGTTTATATTGTGATATGACATTTTCTTTCTTCATATACCCTAGGAACGGTATTGCAGAAAATTTTGACTGTTTTAAAACCGCGCTATCCCTTGAAAACGGGTCTCGTCCCATGCATAGTGTAAATAAACTATTAATCAATTAAATTTACAGAAAAGGTACTATATCATGATTTATACAACAATTCTGTCTGGTTCTCAAATCTGATTGGCTGATAGCCGTGCGATATTCTGCAATATCAGAACTCCTACAGCCTCTTTACCCTTTGTGTATTACTCCGCCCACATACAGCCAACAAAAAGCAGACACATATCGTAATATGCATCATTATCAGCTATTTAGTTTATATTGTGATATGACATTTTATTTCTTCATATAGGAACGATATTGCAGAAAAAATTTTGACTGTTTTAAAACCTTCATTTTTTTCAAACCGCGGTAAGCCTTGAAAGCTGGTATCGTCCCATGCCTAGTGTAAATAAACTATTAATCAATTAAATTTACAGAAAAGGTACTATATCATGATGTATCAGAATATGAGATGATTTATATCGGGATACAAGATTTTTGTCAAATTGCTCATCCCTAGCAAGACACTGTGGTAAAGTTAGTGTTATATTCCCAAATCTCTTCATTTTTGAACAGTGAGAACTTGTGACATGGTCTCTATATTATTTACTTTGACTATTCGGTCTGAAATTGCATGACTTCAAAACAACATTAGCACTATTTAATTGATTAACAACGATGTACTTTGATAGTCATTGGCAGCAAATATGATTTCCCTATTTAGAATTGCCAAAGATTACCAGGAAGTCTGAATGTGCGAATATAAAATAAGCTTTACCTGAGTTTGCAAGATCTGTAAAGCTCCACTTACCATGTCTCCAAGGGTCCTTCGGCTCAACCGCACCCGATACGATGTCCTCATCTGATGGAAAGGTCACCCTTTTTGACCCATGTTTAATCCCAGCTTCTTCTACCACCGGCGTGGCAGCTGCTGGGACTGTTTCTGAGGGCACATCAACACTGTGTTCCTCCAAAGGTTCCTGCGAATGCAGTTCTATGACAGTGTCTGATATTAGAGAGTTTTCACAGCTAGAGGCACTTTCCTCAGATTGAGTCTGGGCAGTTGGTTCAAACTCCAAAACACCATTTTCATCCAGACTTAAATCCACACCGATATCCATCTCACCATCATCACCCACATCTCCAACAGAGCACTTGGTCACCGGCGGCTCCTCAACTGTGCTCTGCTGCAGGTCTCCAGCAGAACCATTAACAGGGTCAGCGGACACTGCAATGGATCCATTGTTTTTAGTATGCAGTGCATCATCCTTCAAATGGACGTCTTTTAATCTAGTCAGGACGGCGGCGTCCTGTTCCTCCTGGTCTCCATCCATCAGCTGGAGGCCATCCCGTGGAAGGATCTCCTCCGCGGGCGTGGGGTGTGATATAGTGTTGTCAGAGACATTGCACAAATCTATAGCTTTGCACAAATCTACAGCTTGATCCTCGCAATTCATTTTCTCATTTCCAGTAAACTAGAGAACGCCACAACCTGTCAAGTACTAAAAAAAAAAACAATTGAACCACCTGCGATGCAAACCTCTCAAACCAATATCTCCTAAGCTAGTGCAAAAAAAACCCTCACATCATAAGTATAAATACTCAGAGCTAAGACATAAAGCTCACTTCATTCATTCCTTTTTTGTATTATTGGTTTGTAAGGGTAACATCAGGCAAATGACTCTATTCTAAGTTTACTTTAGCATCTGTCTCCAAGCCTGTGCTCTGCTCAACATCTTTTAGCTTCAAGCTGAACACATTAAAAGAGTGTCACATGCACATACTGTTGACATTATCAGCAAACACCGTGTACTTAAAGTCCACCATCAATACTGCTACTCTCCTCGCCTCCAAGATCAAGCTAAACACTAGTATAAGCATTCAAATCGCAAATATTGCACTATAAACAAAGCGTTGGATGATGAAGATTATGAAGATGACGAGGATCAGGCTTTCTCCACTGGCCTGCTCTCCGACACCAAGACGGATAAAGTACTAAAACTGACTCTTTAAGACAATGGTTTAAAGTGCAACAGCATGTTTATAACTCCAGTCGTGTGTTTAAGCTGTCAAGACGAGGAATCCTGCACTGTCACTTTCCGTGTCGCAGTGAACACAAATAAAAACAGGCGTCACACTCCGGAGCGCGCTCTCGTCCACAAAAACCACAACAAACGGCCTCGTGTGCTCCGTGTACACACTCTACTCCGGTCGCTTCGCATAAATGATGTTTAACAGACCGCAAAATCGCGCAGACAGCAGAAAAAGAGCGAAATATTGGCCCCGGTGTCGCTCCAGTCCGGACCGACCGTGTGTGTGTCTGTTGACTGCTCAGAGATACGTCATCAGCCCGGGTTGGAAACCCGCCGGAGGATTCAGCTGCCGCACTTTCAGCGCTTCACCTCAAGCGTTTGTTGCCGAGGAAGTGCGCGAGATAAAAATATAAAGCTTGCTTTTGTGTTTAGTTTTAATTTCATATTTTCGTTTTTATAAACGCATTGGTGGTTCATCGTGACTAGAGCACATAGTGAATCACCATAGACATTCAACGAATCAGTCGACATTTGAACTTTGCCAAACAGCTGTCACGTTGGATGGTTTATGACGTGTGTTACACATGAAAATAAACAAATATATTATATTGTAAATGGATATATATTGTATAACTATTCAGTCTTGGTTAGATATCGTGTGAATATAGGAAATTAGACACTTTTCTTTTCAGTCAGATATGTCATATTTTATAAATGGCGTCAAACCTTACCACAAATAGCAGGAACTGGAACTTTTATAAATGGCAATACTGTGATAACTGGCACTGTGTACTTATTTATCAAGTAATTAAACAGACAGCCTATTAAAAGGGGTGGTTCTTTTTTGGATCTATTTGCAGTTATTCGACGTTTAAATACATTTTAGTGACGTTTTGAACACTTTTGCTGCATTGGCTTGTTGGATGGTTATCATTATGGCACGTTTTAATGCAACAAAAATACTTCCTACATTTTTGTCAAAGTGTTTATCATACTATTTTTTTTTGTTTACAAAGATTTACATCTAAAAATGTGCGTTTAAACTTTGAGTTTTTACAGTTTATATATAATGTAATCAGACTGTAAGAATGTAGTCAGAATGTAATCAATGTAATCATTTTCTAAATGCTAATTTATTATCATCCATCATAAAAACAAACAAACAATAAAAAATGTCAATCTGTTGTTAATGTTTTAAATTAAAAACTGTAGCCTATATGCAAATAACAAGCTAGCAAGCTCATCTCCGCAGTCACAACTTGTCCATTTAAATAAAAAAGCCTTCTTTTATTGGTTATTCTTCTTAAAACCTTCTTCTATTGGTTATTTTCACAATTTATGATGGCTTACTCTCAAAAATAGGACAAATGAGCTCATATAGAGGCCAAAATCTGGACTTTGTCAGAAGGGGGGAAAGTTTTTTTGAACCACCCGAACCCCTCCTGGCTACGGGCCTGTTAATATATTGGCCTATCCTAAACATCAGACCGGACTTTCAGCATGAACCCTTACATTTATTCATTTATTTATTTATTTATTTATTTATTTATTTATTTATTTATTTATTTATTTATTTATTTATTTATTCACTTATTCATTTATTCACTTATTCACTTATTCACTTATTTATTTATTTATTCACTTATTTTTTATTTATTTGTTTGTTTGTTTGTTTATTTATTTATTTATTTATTTATTTAATATTTTATTTATTTATTATATTATATTATTTATTTACTTATATATTTGTTTTTTTATTTTAATTAATTAATTAATTTATTTATTTATTTTTATTATTTATTTAAATTTTTTACATTTATTTTTACTGTCACCACATGTCCAAATATTATGCTATTATTTAATTTGTGTGACGTGTCTGCTAGTTTACTCCTCATATCATTTTATCTCCCAAACTAGTGTATTAAATGGTTTTATAAGTGCTTGCTCTCTTTTCGTTTGTTGTTTTAAACTTTTCAGAGGAGATGAAATGTAGGAAACATCAACACACGTTTGTTTTCACTGCTACATAACTGGCACTGTGTGCTTATTCACCAAGTAATTATATAATATATTAGACTATCCTAAACATCAGACACCCACATGTTTTACTGCTGAAGACCATAACGTTTCCTGTCAAATTCAAAATAAACCCCATGCTAACTTTGCGGCCAAATGCAAGAATAATCCGTAATGTTGCCAGAATTCGTTAATGTCTTAATCATTTAATTAAAATGTACTTTACAGTCGTTATAAAACAAGCAAGAAATAACTTATTTTGCACTTACATGCTCAATGAGTTGGCCCCTCTCATAATACCACCTGCACTAACATAGCAAGCCTAGTATAAATAAAAGCTATAAGCTGTATTTGTAGTGTAAAATGCTTCATTCACAAAGAGAATAGAGCACAAAGTTGTGAAAAGAACATTAGATTTATTATTATTGTTGTTTATATGTCACCACATGTCCCAATATTATGCTATTATTTAATTTGTATGACGTATCTGCTAGTTTACTCCTCATATTGTACCATTTTATCTCCCAAAGTAGTGTATTAAATGGATTTAAAAGTGCTTGCTCTCTTTTCGTTTGTTGTTTTCAACTTTTCAGAGGAGATGAAATGTAGGCTACTTCAACACACGTTTGTTTTCACTGCTACATAACCAGAACTGTGCACTTTTGCTATTAAAAAGGTTGTTTTCACTGCAACATCCACAACTCAGTTCATCGATCCCACCACTAGAGGTCGTCGACACCTCAATTCTATTCTCAATACTAACCTAATTCTGATCTCTGCATGCTCCTAAAAACATTGAATGATCCTAAACAAACCAGATTCAGAACTAAAGAGTTGCTAATTTACTTTGCTTAATATTATAAAATTAATTATGAATGTTTATATATGTGGGGCATGTGTTTGGACTGTGGGGGAAACCGGAGCACCCGGAGGAAACCCACGCCAACACGGAGAGAACATGCAAACTCCACACAGAAATGCCAACTGACCCATCTGGGACTCGAATCAGTGACCTTCTAGCTGTGAGGCCACAGTGCTAACCACTGAGCCACCATGTGGCCTTCAAGCAGTTTTATTTACGAGACATAAATGGAAGCTGTAATGCTTTTATTAAAACATTTCATCTTTGACCCTTATGTACTGACAGAAGTAGGCGCGCAAATGTGTGTGTTAATTTAATTACATTTAATCCAGCCAAATGATTTATAGTGCTAATGCAGTCTAATTATTGAGTGGTAAAATGATAATGATGAGTGATTAAATTTAAAAAGGTTGTTGCTTTAATTCACATTGTCATGCCTCGCTTGAGCTAGATATCCTTTAGTGTCTTGGGTTGCCAGGTCCAAGAAAAGATTTCAGTCTGTTTCTGGATTGCCACAACAGAAATGGTTTACCATATCTCACCATTTTTGTAATACACATTTATTTTTCTTCAGCGTAGCCCCTTTATTCGTCTGGGGTTGCCACAGTGGAATGAACCGCCAGCTATTCCAGCATATGTTTTATGCAGTGGATGCCCTTTTAGCTGCAACCCAGTACTGGGTAACATACACACTCATTCACACACTTCTAAAACATTTTATTGCATTATATAGCATCCGTGAACTGTAAAACAACAGCAACAACAAAAAGCAATATAACACATACAAGTAATTTTCAACCAAGGTTTAATGCAACAATTATAATAAATATTGACATAGTATTATTTATGTTTTATTATGTAAATATTTTATGTATGTATTATTATATAAGTATGTTTATAGTTCATTATGTAATCATAAATATTGTTAAACTATTAATATATTACAATGTATTATTAAATTTATCAATTTTGAACATCAAAGGATTGAAAAAGCTCTGATTTAATATGCTTATGTCTGAATATGCCTAAGTTTTAATTCTTCCACCTGTTTCCTCAGTCACCTCATCACCATTCTATATCATTAACATGTTTTGACACATGACCACTTAAACGTTGTAAATGCAAGTCAAGATAACTTGAATCTTATTTAGTTTAACAATTTAATGTGCTAAAAAGTTGGGATTACTTGTTTAAATACTGTAAGGTGAACAAACTTATTCATAATAATAATAGTAATAATATAATAATAATAATAATAATAATAATAGTATAATAATAATAATAATAATAATAATATTAGTATTAATCTAATAATAATAATAATAATAATTTAATAATAATGATAATAATAGTAATAATAATAATAAATAATAATTATAATATGATAATAATAATAATAATATAATATAATAATAATAATGATAATAATATTAATAATATAATAATAATATTAATAATACTACTAATAATAATAATAACAATAAAATAATAATAATCATAATGATATTAATAATATAATAATAATAATAATAATAATAATAATAATAATAATAATGATAATAAAAATAATAATAATAATATAATAATAATCTAATAATAATAATAATAATAATAATAATAATAATAGTAATAATAATAATAATTAATAATAATGATAATAACAAAAATACTAATAATCTAATAATAATCTAATAATAATAATTATAATAAAAAAATAATAATAATATAATAATAATATTAACAATAATAATATAATAATAATAATGATAATAATATAATAATAATAATATTAATAATAATATAATAATAATAATGATAATAATAGTAATAATATAACAACAATAATAATCTAATAATAATCTAATAATAGTCTAATAATAATGTAATAATAATCTAATAATAATAATAATAATAATAATAATAATGATAATAATTCCTTACATTTATATAGAGCTTTTCTGGGCACTCAAAGCGCTTTACACATAGGAGGGAATCTCCTCGTTCACCACCAGTGTGGAGCATCCACCTGGATGACGCGATGGCAGCCATTTTGCGCCAGACCACACACCACACACCAGCTGATTAGTGAAAAGAAGAGAGAGTGATGAAGCCAATTATGATATTTTAACATATTAACTTATTCATAATAAGTTAACCGCTCTTAATTTTATTAGCGGCAACAGCTATTGCTTTTTACAATGTATATTTTGTCCTAGACGTGCAGGAAAAACTAAAATCTGGCAACCTTGAGGCCTTAAGTGGCTTGTTCTACATCCCAGTCGAAAAAATCAACAAGCCTTGACACTCAAAGATTCCTGGCACTGCTGTATTACAACTCTGAGTTTACTAACCAAACCGTTTGTACGTTCCGTTCCTTGTCAAATAGCTCTAATTATTCAGGCCTGTCTTATGTGTGATGTGACTCTTATAAAG